CTGGCCAAGAGGGAGGGCGGGCGGGGGCTCAGGGCGGGCTTCGTGGGGAAGCGGAAGCCTCCGTGGGGTCTTAAAGGATGAACAGGGGCAGGCCAGCAACGGAGGCCAGGAGACCCCGGCTCCAGCCCAGAGCCGGGCAGACCAGCAGTCAGACCGTCCCCGCCAGGGCCCGGACACCTTGCCAGGAAGCTGAGGCGCCAGCCACCTTGGAAACCAGCCCCCGCCCTGGCCAGGACAGCCTGGAGGCCAGCACCAGAGAACCAGTCTGACGTCCAGTCCAAGGGCCCCCTCCCCCAGCACGGCCGCCCACCCTGCTCTCCAGCCCAGGGACCAAGGGCTCCGGCTGCTTCCAAAATAGTGCCCTTTCACCACAAGTTGTTGGGGGAGGGGGTGCAGCCGACACGACCCGCTTCCCGTTTTGTAGGTGCACAGACAACCACGCAGGTGCGGAGCCGGGAAGGGCAGACCGCAAGATGCCCATCTCTGGGGAAAGGATGGGGGAGACTTCTCGCTGCCAGCACGGCCCAGCCTCCCTCTGACGCTGGGGTGGGACCTTTGTGGTCGAGGGGCCATCCTTGCTGCAACCTGCTAGCTAGCGAGAGCCCCCTCCTCCCAGCTCATGTTTCACAGCCCAGACTCTTCGGACACTGCGAGGTCCTTAGGGACGGTGACAAATCACCCCCGGTTGAGAACCACTGTGAGACCTAACTGCCCCTCCTCTCTCTGTCCTGAACACGTAGGGATCCTACAGAGGACGAACGCTGAAAATGCAGGCCGCCCCCCGGCCCCCGGGGGGCAGGCCCAGCAGGTCACGCCCCAAGACCTGGCCAAGAGCGTGGACACCACAGCCCGCTCGGGGACTCTGCCCCACCCCCTCCCACAGCTACGGAAGCCCTCCTCATCGGGGAGGCCCCTACCCCTTTGCAATCAGGCAGATTCCAGAACCTGTGTCTATAAAAAGAGATAGGTATGCAGAGGCACTCCCTACGTCTGATTTTGAAATAAAACTTGAGCAACAGAGGTCTCACACAGGCTTGAGTCAGGCAGCAGTGGCCTCCAGTGGGACCTCATCCCATTTTCTCCCTCCCTGCAGGTCCCGTCCCTGCCACGGCGTCCCCTCCTTTCCTCAGAGCCCCCCTTCCTACGGGGTCCTCCTCCACCCACAGAGACCCAGGTGCCCACTGAGCAGGAGTGTTCGGCCTGGCCATAGCCCCCTGGTGGCCACGCCCCTAGGGCGGTGCCAGAGGCCTTGCCCCCAGATGGGGAGCTCCAGCAGGGGGCGGTTGCCGGTGGCCCTGAGACCGGGACAGCCCTTGCCCGGCCACACCATCCCCTCCGCCACAACTGGCCAGTCATCAGTGCCGCTCCGGCTGTGAGCAAAGCCCCTCCCACACGGGACCTGGGGACTCCAGCACATACCTTCGTTCCAGGCCGACGCACCAGGCCTGCAGCCCACAGCCCGGCTTCCACACAGGCACTGTCCTGCTGAAGGCCCGCACGCAGGGCTGGCGGTGGCCCACCAGGGTCAGCTCCCGCTCGGCACACACGTGGGGCCTGGGACAGAGGACAGACGGTCAGGCCCCTGTCGCCAACACCAGCTGCTTCTGCACGCATGCCCTGGGGCGTCCAGTCATCTGGGTGGGGTCCAGACCCAAGGCGGGCCCCACAGCGGGGCACCCAGCCCGGTGCGCAGCGCAGGCCGGCAGCAGGCCTGGGCTGGAGGGTGCAGGCGCCCAGGGGAAAAGGACTCATAGGCCCGCGTCCCAGCCTCCCCATGGCGAGGGCCGCGCGGCCGGGGCGATCCTCCAACCTCCCAACTCCCCACAACACGGAGCCCGCTGCCCCTCAGACGGGGGACTGGGATCTGCAGGGACAGTGACAACTCGGCCTGAATCCATCTGACTCTGCTCCCCGCGTCCTCTCTCCACAGCCCGCCCTGCTCCAGAGGTGCCCCGAGCTGGGGCGCAAGCATGAGACACCAGCCAGCGAACCTCTCTGAGCCTCGTGTGCCCGCCCAGAGGGCAAGGACTCAGCATGGGCCTCGCAGGTCGTCCTGAGGGTTCAACGAGCCTGAATGGAAGAGGCTCCCGTCGGCCGGGGTGGGTGAGCTCCGAGGGCCCCCAGCAGCGGCCACAGTGGGAAACCGCCATCACTTGCGAACTGAAATCAGGCCCAAGTGAGCTGCTGCAGGTGCCACACCATTTCTGCTCCATTTCTCTGGCCCCCACCTGTGCCCAGTCGTGCCAGCATCCAGGCTCTCTGCCCGCAGGCGGTGGGGGAGGGGCGGGGAGGGTCCAGGCCCGATGGAGCATCTTGGCTGCAGGCCCAGCCTGACCCTGAAACTCCCCCGAGCCATGGACGGCCTGTGAGCCCTCTATCCCTGTCTGAAGGTGGAGATGACAAACCCGGGCTCTAGAACCAGCCGCCCAGGCCTGCGGCCCGCTGTGCAGCCTGGACAAAGTCACTGACCCTCTCTGAGCCCTGGCTTCAGCACCCGTAAATGGGGCAGCAGGCACCTCTAGGGATCCTGACATGAGACCACCTGTGTCAGGACCCTGGCTCCCCTTTGGCTCAAAGAAAATCCCTGTGTTTCTGGGTCCTGGGGCCCCACAGCCCTGGGATGTCCCCACCACTCCCGTAAGCTGACCCAGCTCAGTGCGCAGGATGCCAGACTCAGGGCCTCGGGGAGGGGATGCCACAGATCCCAGAGGTCCTTCATCTCAGGGGGCTGCAGGAGGAGCAACACCCCACATGGCGCGTGGCAGAAAACCCCAGGCGGCCTGAGGACGCTCTTGTGAAGGGCCCGCTTTTCCTTCCTGGCCCTCCTCAAACCTCGGCCATGGGGGCTGCCGCTGACCCACGAGATGACAACGGCAAGGCCACACAGATGCCCTTCCGGAACATCTGCCCTGCTCACTCCCCCGTCCGCCGCCTGCCTGTCCCCACCCCACAAGACACCTGTGTGACTCTGGTCCCCGAGGACTCCTCCCCAAGGCCTGCAGGGCTGCCCGGCTCCCCGGACGGCAGGTTTTCCCGCTGACTGGACCGCTCTCTCCACGTCCCTGAAACGCTGTGAGCCCCAGACCTGGGCGATTAAAGGGAGGAGGGGCGAGCGCTGGAATGATTTTCTCCTCTGGGAAGTTTCCGGCCCCTCAGAAGCACAAGCTCAGCTGGCTTTTCCATCTGGAAGGATGGAGGAAGTGGGATGGGGGGAGGGAGGGCCACGGAGGGGACCAAGCGGCCTGACCGGCACCCCACGCAGGAGGAAGGAGAGCGCAGTGAAGACTCCGACCATGGCAGGAGTGAGTCCTCAGGCCCCTCTGTTCCTGAAGCTGGATCCTCCTCCCGTCAGCAGCAGGCAGCTGCCCAACCACCAAGGGAGCGCAGCTTGGTCAGAGGGGTGCTGATCCCAGCTGTCAGGCCACCTGCTCCCCAGGCAGAGCGAGGCTCCTGGAGGCTGAGGGCCTTCACCTGGAGCTGGAGGTGAGGGTGGGCGTGAGTTGTGTCTCTCCAGGGTGGGCCCTGGGCCCCAAGAACAAGGCACGAGGACGAGGAGGTGAGGGTAGGAAAACCAGGCAGGGAGGCAGGGGCAGCCGGCCTGGCACAGAGGGGGAGGCCTGGCTGCACGTGCCCTCGTCCGGAAGAGGGGCTGGGTTACTGAGAAGCATCTCCGTCACATCTGCTTTTACAGGCTCTGTGTTTACACCCATGGTCAGCCTCTGAACGCAGATCCCCTGGCCTGGGCACAGCAGGTGTTGGGGGAAGCTCGGGGCTCTGCAGCTGGGGAGCCCAGGTCCAGCCCTGGGGCCCCGAGGATGCCGTGCACTGGGCAGGTCACTCCCAGATCCCCGGGTTCCCCTGCCTGACAAATGGACAGTGGATCGCGACATGGAGCAGCCCCAAACGCAGGGCCTGGCACAAGGCGGTTGGCCACAGGCATGCCCCCACCCCTGCCCTGCCCTCATCCACCACAGCCTCGGCCCCAGAGAGCCTCCTGATAGCTGCCCACAGGCCACTGAAGGTACAGTTCAGCCTTCAGACTCCTTGACTGGTGAGGACAGTTCCCCCAGACAGCCAGAGGAAGACTTAGCCTCAGCGAATGGAGCCCAGTCTAGCCCTCAGGGCCAGTGGGTCCAACAGTTACTTGCAAGAGGCGACTTGAGCTTGGAGGGCCTGGATGAGAGGGCTCGATATAATGAGCTGACCCCGAAGCACAGCTGCCCAGCAGGGACTCCGGCCCCGGGAAAAGCAGAGCCCGTGAGCAGACGTCTCCTCCAAGCCAGGCAGCCTCGGACAGAGGCTGGTCAGTCCTCCCTGTTCCCAGACGCTGTCCCCACAGCCCAGCCGGAAGCCTTGGGCCAGCATTGCCTGTGGTCAGCAGTCAGTCCAGGCCCCAGGGAGAAGGACTGGCCATTTTTCCAGGGCCACAGAAATTCACTTCAGAGACAAATAATTAAATAAAGAAGTGTTGGTTTTGAACCTGGACATGTTAGCCAGCGGGAGCCAAAGGACCAGCCAGATCACTCAGGTCCACAAAGGCCCCCGGAGCACCTGGGGCTGCCAGGCAGCAGCGCCTCCCTTAGAGCACCCTCTCTCTTTGCCTCCCAGAGGCCCCATGGACGTCTCCAATCGGCCAAGGAGTCGGGGGATGCCTGGGAAGGGAAGAGCGGCACAGGGACAGGACCTTCGAGGACAAAGCACTTTCTGGGACGCTCGCGGCTCTCTGGGCCCCGTCCCCTGCCCCTCTGGGCTTCAGGGAGCAAGGAGACAGTTGCGGCACCTCCAGGAGCCCACCGGCTCCTGCCTCCTTTCTGTTCAGAACAAGCTACAGGATGCTCCACAGCCCAACAGACCTCCCCGTGGTGGAGCAGAAGAGCGCCCCTACTGGGTCAGCCAGCCAGCAGCGCCCACCATGCCCCCCTGCAGGCCCGGCGGGCAGGCGCCAGGGGCTTACAGACAGGACTGGCGGGTGTGTGCACCAGCAGCACGGAACTCAACACAAGTGGGCAAGCTGAGAGTGGAGGGGCTATGCCCCTGCGAGCGGGAGGCTCCCCACAAAGGAGGGGTGGTGGGCAGAGGATTTGAAGGGGTGGGGGTGGAAAGGAGGCTTTGTGCAGCAGGAAGACTGGCCTCCTGGGCAACCCACCAGCAGCTGGTTGGAAAGCCCTTCCCAGACTGGCTAGAGGACTGCCAGAGCCCTCGGTGAGCAGGCTGACCTCACAGCACAGGCTCACTCCCTGCGCCAGGGAGGGGCGACCCGTGCTCTCCTCTCCACAAGGGCACCGGGGCAGAAGCCCCTCCTAGGAGCAGAGCCCTCCACCCTCACCGGCAGAGCAGCTGTCCGCCCTGACCAGCACCCTGGCGTTCCCAGGAGCCTGGGCCTCTGGATGTCCCCAGCCAACCATGTGAAGGGCAGGCGGGCTGAGTGCTGAGTGCCACTGTAATCACCCCTCCTGAGGCCCCAGCTTGCCCTGAACAAACTAAACTCACTGGGATCCCAGCACAGAGCAGCGTTGGGCAGAAGTCACGCCAGGTCGGGACACGGGCCCCCATACCACGCTCCTTTGAAAAGGCCACGGGAAATCTTCCTTCTTGGAGGAATGCAAGACCCAGGCTGAGGGGTCTGGGGGCATGGGCTCGCCCCCTCCCCAGCTCTGCCTGGAAGTCTGTCCTTTCCCGCTGTACAGCCAGGTGCACCAGGCCCGCTAGGGAGCCCTGCACAGGAAGCCCCAGCCGCGGCCTGGGCCCCTCACTGCCCCTCTGCTGCCTCTCCAAGCACTGCAGGTTCCGGGCCCAGCACCCTGGGGGAGTGCGGGGGTGGGGGCCGCCAGCAGCCTCTTCCCCCAACCCCTCCTCCTTCAGACCCGCTCACTTCTCACCAGTTTTCCTCTGAGGCCACCACAAGGATCAATTTGCTGTTTAAGAGAGACTGCTAAACGGCCCGTTGGGGAATCAGCTTTCAAAATTAAATTCATCTCGGCTGGCTCCCTGACCCTCTCTTCCTGCCCATTCTGGCACTGAATTTCTTCTCCCAGAGCCGTCGTACTGAACACAGAAACCAACCCCAAGCGGTCCCCAGTCTGGGCACAGCCCGCCCCTGCGCAGGCGGCCCAGGCCCCCAGGCCCCCAGGCCCCAGGAGACGGGCTTTGGAAGGAAGTGGGCACAGGCTGCTTCCTTTCTGCCTTCGCCAAGCTCCCTGGCCAGAACTTGCCCAGATCCCCTCACCTCCGCGGGAGTGCAGATTCTGCCTCCACGTGCAAACCCACGATGCAGAGCTAAGGCAGAGGAGGAAGGGGAAAGGGAGAGGCGCGGTGGCCCTGCCACAGAAGCGCCCCCAACCCCTGACCCTCGTCTCTTAACCTCCCCCTCCCCGGTTAAGGCAAGGAGCTCACTGCTCCTCAGGGCCCCAGGAACAAAGCCGCCCAAGGAACCAGGCCTCCGGACGTCCCGCCAGCCCTCCCGCTCCCGCTACTCACATGCTGGGTTGCAGGCGGAGCAGGGCGCTGGCGCCCGCTGGCACGGAGGGGAGCAGCAGCACCAGGGTCAGAGCCACTGCGC